GCTTCAAATTCTGACTACCGTGTGTATCATAATGATTATACTTCAGATGGAAATTCTTTCTTTGAATTTTTGCAGCTCGTACAGAATATAAATCTTCCCATCACGATTTCACAAGTGAAACATAAAATCGTGACAATATGCATTGCTATAAATATTTTGAAACTCTGGCGACATTTTGCTGACAGATCCTCCATTTAAGCGGTGCACGGCAATTCTAAAATTTACTGAAGGAGAAAAAGAGTTTGTCTAACTCTTCGCCTGACATTATTAGAACAATTCGTAAAAAAGACGAGATTTTATTCTACTTTTGGTTTATTTAACGACGATGACAGCACCTAAAACTGTAGTGTAGCGTAGTATGGGCGGGATGTGGAAGGAAGTAGCGTAATTGAAGATACTGTCACGATATTTGGTTGTAGGGACTGAGGAAAACTATTAAAATCCTCTGCCAGAATAGCCGATGTCCGGTCTGAGACTTTAATGCGGGACCTTCGGAATTCGAAGGAGGCGTGGTAACCTTTCAACCGCGACGTTCTGTAGAAGGAAGTGTTAGCGGTACATGGGACAAGCTCGCGGAAATAGGAAATCCTGGCAAGATCTGTTACTAAGAAATATTAAAGGAAGAAGATGAAGGACAAAGTTACTTGGAAAAACCTAGACCGATGACTGAGGAATTTCACGCAGGGGCAATAATTATTTATTCGAAGTCGCTCTCAGAGAGATTGTGGGTTCCACTCAGCAACCGCTCCGACATCGAAGGAGGAGGAAAATCAAAACTGGAAAATTTCAGAAGGAGAATTAGAAGTCGATGGTGGGTGGCCAACGTTCTATCATGAATATATTTAAACATTTTTTATTTTATATAAAGGTGTGTTTTCTCGACTAATTGAAGCGCGTTCAAACCACACGCTTTACTCGTGTGTCGGAGATGTTGCCTATACGACAGGGTAGTGACAACAGCAGTTGCAAACAGGTTTAGAGGATGGAGCAGGCACACGCAACAATACAGGCAGGAAATAATGCATGCCGTTATTGGGAAACAAAACTTGGACAGCGAATTTACATAAAAGTAAATGTTGATTAGTACATGTCCTGCATATGCATGCATATATGATCCATGTCACAGGATGGAAATTCACGCTAATGCAACTTGTGTGTATACGTATGTATCTGTGCATCACGCGCTTTCAATATTATGCATGTATTTCCTCGAGTACTAAATATGATTTCCCACACTCAGGCTATGCCAAGAAATTTTCTTCTTAGATAAATACTAGGAAGCATAGTACCAGACAAAACTGTGTGAACAGTAAACTATAAATATTCAAGCAGATAACTTTTGCTAACACACTTTTCACATTGTATTTTCGGAATTCAATTTCAGTTTCAGAGTTATTTCATTTTACGTTCTTTGCTATCCTGGTTGTTGCGTCCGATAATTTGGATGAGTATTAATTGACCTTACCATCGAAACCAAAATGTAGGATTAAATTCTAACTCTTTTTATCATATATTCCTGTCTAATCAGGAAAGGTTCCGACGGTTTTGTCTGTTACAATAATTTTGAATGACCGTAATTCACAAATTTATTGGTTGTATACCATAGGATAATGATGACTTAAAATAAAGTAATATTCACATGTTTCCTTTCTTTCTTCCAGTAGCTTGGGAAGCTGAATTGACCGAATATGTGTAGTGTTAGATGCTCTGTATCCCGGAGTTTCTGGTTTCGATTTCCGACATAGCGGGGCCATCTGTTATAATATTTTATGGCTTTCCTCAGTCCTTCCATACATATGCTGGATACTATCTTAAAATAGGCTACGACCACTTTCTTACACATCCCTTCCAATTTACTACTTAAAACCATCCTCAATTTCTACAACATACTTGTTTATCTATACGACTGAAAAAAAAATATCAGGATGAATTTTGTAGCAAATACTTGTGGTCACTTGATTAATTAGCCGTTTTTAAAGATAGTTAATGAGACATTCGTTCAGTCTGTTGGACAGACATTCAGGTAGCTGTACATGAAGTAAGTTATTTAATGCTGTTGGTGTTTACGCCGAGCTTCTTGTTGCAGGCGTACCAGACAGCCGTCCAGAATCAACTGGACGTACGGGAAGCACTTCTGTCTACAAATCCTCAACACGACGAGACCAAAGAACTCGTGAGAACGACTCCTAAAGTTGTTCACCAGTCTAGCAAGAGTCACAAGGTCGTTGATACGGAGGACACCGATGAGCTGAGTCAGCTGCATGAAGACGGACGCCTGGTGACTGAAACACGGCGAACCACTGAGCACGAGGAGATTCGAGACAAAGAGGAGCCCGATGACGAAAAGGGTGGCCACAGCGAAGAGGAAGAAACCCGACGAGAGAGCTCTCATCGCTTTGCCAAAACCAAGGACCAGGACCTAGTCGAATACATTGCTGACGGCGTCAAAATCGGCGAAGAGATGAAATACGTCGCAGAAAACACAGAGGCAGAACGTCACGGGGATCCTCCAGACGTGGCGGATCATCAGGAATGGGACAGTTTATCTACAAGAATCAGGAGAATGCGGAGACAAGGGGCGAAGCCTCACCACACGAGAGGAATCCCTTCATCTGGAAATCTGGGTGCTGCCCCACTTCCAATGGACCGTAAAGACGCCCTGACAAAGAAACCTTTGGACTTCGATCAAGAAGAAGAAACGAGAAAAGTCGAGACTTCCAAATGGTTGGAGCATCATTTTGGGAGTGATTCCCGTTCTTCTAAAGATTCGCTTGACGACGATGACCTTCCCTCGGGACAACCGGGCGGGAGCACCAGTTACATCAACGTCACGATGATGTCGCGTCCTATCAACAGC